ATTCGCTCGGTTCTGGCGTCTTCACATCCATTACATTCCTGCGAGACTACGTTTCGACAAAATGGACAACTTCCTCCATTTATGCAGTGTCATACTGCTAAAAGGAGAAACTTGCTTAGCATCGTGCTCGGCAACGGCCCCGCTAATGTTTAAAGCTAAACACAAGGCTGCCAAAACCTTGCTAGGCAAGTTATTTAGTCAAGCTGTAGTCGCGCCAGGTTCCCCGAATTTGCTCGACAATGCAATTGTGAAAAAATTATATTTGTTATGTGAAATTCAGGGAATTGAAGACCCAGAATTTGAGTTAATCAATCGGGAAAAGAATGGGGGGTGTCTAATTTATGCCTCCCTCTACCGGTTTAGGGGTGCAGGACGAGGAGCAAATATCAGAGAGGCTTTCTTCCAAGCTGCTGAAAGTCTCTTTGAAACTCTCCATGAAAGATATTTAGTCCTCACCCCAACCGAGTCAAGTTGGACAAGTACCACGGAGCCGGACCCAACCACAGAAGAGGAGGAATAATAAGAATAATAATAACTAAAAAAAAAAAAAAAAAATTATATATATAATTATAACATGTATTATTACACATAAACTAATTATAAACGATTAAAATAAGTTATTAAAATAGGAATTTAAGATCTAGTATTAAAAATAGACTATGTGTATATATGCTGTTATGTCCGGAGAATTTTCGCGTCGAAGGACATTGATTTTTGATCGTAAGCTGGAATTTGTTGATTAATAATTTTGGATGACGCTGGATTTTCTATTGTTCTTACCGTTGGTGATTTTTAGAAGAAACAGGTTGGATGAATGAATGAAAAAATAGGAGAATTTGAATCGTACAACCTTGCGTTTTATTGGAGCGCTTAAATCGATTTACATTGATTGGTGAAAGTGATTAGAATTTTAAGGAACCCCTTTCAATCTTTGATGGCTCTATTGGGGATTTTACAATTTGATGATTACTCACTGCGGTCGGTTCTTATTTCTTAAAATGTGAATTCTTAAGGTGATTTCACCACGTTTCTCTGCCAGATGACAATCAGTACACTATCACAGATACTTAGGTGAAATCCCTGTCTTTCACTTAGTTGTTTTGATGAATTCTATTTATTAATTTGAGTCCAGGCTCTCAATAGTTTTTAATAGTCACTTAATAGTTAATTTTGAGTCACACCCACCATTCACCGACAATTACTACTTGTTCCCTTAATCTGCAAGAGATTATTTACTCTCGGTTTAAGGATTCTGTATCCCCGAACAATTGCTAATTTATGTTCCCTAATATTATTTAGGAACACTCCGAAAATTTAATTTAAGATTAACTCCGAAATACTAGCCAAAAGTCGGACCGATTCCAATAATTATTCCGCCAGGAAGTTGTAGCTCTTTCGGGAGCGGGATGTTTCAGACTGGAGTTTTTTCGGAGACTCCTCTATTTATTTCTACAAGGATTGGCAAATTGATTAGAGTCGGAGAGGTGGTGTGATTGCCACCTCTATGATTTTGAGTTTATTAACCTGGCTTTACTTGCTAGGGTAACTTGTGAGTTGCCAAATTTTGGTTGCAATGGCCTCTGTGGAATGCAGCGTTGCACATTCCCCTGAGGTCATTGGCGGTTTTATGTGAGTTTCTCAACTTTCGTGGCGATGATTCATTGGCTCGGCTCGTTTATTTAATTTTTTAATCTATTTTTGTTAATTGTACCTGTTTAAAAATAATCTGGACATTACAATGCAAAATCAGAACAGGAATAAAATTCCACTTATCATTACTCTGTCAACCACGGTGAAAGAAAATATATATAAGGTTGGAAACTAGAATCATTACCTTGAATAACCCTAGTAAGGAATAATAAAATTCGTCTTTGTGAAACGATTATTAAGAGTCTTCCACTCTTAACAATCGTTTAATCATGGGGGTGTTACGTCTTAACGTACACAATTGTTGTTAAAATCTATTGAAAAATGAATTTCCAATAGGATTTAACAACAATAATGAAACTTAATTATTAACTTTTTAAAACCAAAAATTGAATCGAAAATTCCAGTACTTGTTTTACAACAATAAAACAAGTAAAGGTTTCAAATATGAGAATGTTAAATGAACATTCTCATATTAAAATAACGAAAGAAAACGCGTTACCAAGGGGCCTTATCACCCTTGGCGTCAAATTACCCTTGGAAACAGTCATACGACTGTTTCCAAGTGATCCCTCCCTACCTCACCGCCCGAAATCCTCCATCACCCTCCTCTCGCGCTAACAAGTGCGTTACGCAACGCCTAATACTTATTCCCCTTCCCCAAAAAAACGCATGGGCACTTAGCAGTGCACCACAGTCCCCCACCCCCGCACAATTATTAATTCGTGTATGAATTAACATACACCAATTAATAATTGGCGTCAAAAGGCCTGGTCAAAGACAACGGCCACGCTTACTCCTCTCTCAGTTCCGTTTGGGAAGCCAGTCGATTCCGATAAAAAAAAAAAAATATTAGTACAGTTCCACCTGAGAATTTAGTGCAGTTCCACCTGAAAATTTAGTGCAGTTCTGCTTGAGTCCTTCACACAATTATTATACCAAGGACCATACACAAGGAAACATTCACACAAGGAAAATCATTCATACCAAGGACCTTCTACTCAAGGAACCATTCATACAAGGAAAAATCATTCATGCTAAGGACAATCTACACAAGGAACCATTCATACCAGGATTAAAAATTTTCACATCAAAGGACGACACACATCCACGAAGATAATATTCACAGAGGACCCGATAATTATTAACAAACATCAGGAAGATCCACATTGAAGAAGGTTCGTAAATTTTCAATAACAATTTAAGTGACAGTGCGGGAATAATTGCTTATTAAGGTTCTTGTTCAATGTTTCCCAAGGGATAATTAATATAATTAAAATCAACAACAAATTAATTCGGTCGCGAGTGTTCAGTTTTAAATAATTCCGGTAATTTAAATAAAATAAAACCAACAACAATTTAATTGGGTCACGAATGTTCAGCCTAGATAATTCCGGGAATTACTTAAATAAATCTGTTCAATAACGCAAATTAATTCATTTGCGGTTATTTAAATCCCGGATAATAATTAAATTAAATTTGTTCGATAACAATTATAATTAACTAAATTCCGAATAATAATTCAAATAAAATTGTTCGACAACAATTATAATGAACTGAATTCCGAATAATAATTAAATTGAATTTGCTTGCCAACAATTATAACCATTTAAATTCTCACTACTAATTAATTTAAATTTGGGGGATCCGTTATGGTGGTTGTATAGTACAGACGTGTTTTTGTTGTGTGTGCCAATCTTCTGTCTCTAAATGGTGTTGCGCGGTGTTCATTGTTTCTCTCTCCTAAGAACTTTACTCAAAAAATTTCTCTGCTCATTCGGAGGTATTAATTTGAGTGACTGGTCAGTGTTTTGGTACAATTTTTTGGCTTTGTCTACCTCTATAAACCTGAAGAGGTTATGCTAGAAAAGGCGGGAATCGATGCCCGGTTCTACCCTTTGGTTTCGCCACATGCAGCGTACCGCTACCTCTGACACAAAGTCGGCACTAACACCCAAGAGTCGACCCTCGGCCGGTACAAGCAAAGTCTTTTTAGTCGACTGCTCACCTGCGCTAAACACCCCGGTTCCGCCAATTCCCAAAGGAGAAGTTTTGAAAGGAAGACCTCCAACAGCGGCTACCTGGCTCAAACATAGAGACCCCTCTACACCATCCCTTAGTGAGCTCTATAGTAAACGTAAGAGAGATTCAGGCGTCGAACCACTCGACTCTAACAGAACCCTGAAACTTGCCAAATCTGGATTGGACCTCCTCCCGGTTTATCAGGACTCCCCTTTCTCCGAGGCCTTTGACTCCACCTCCTACCGGGCGTCGCCCTTGCTCTCACCAACTCATCCCATTACACAGCCAAAGTCTAACTCACCCAGTGAGGAAAAAATGTCTATCACCGAGAATATTGCTTCAATACTGGCTGACATGAGAGAGATGAAGGCTGACAGTAAAAAGGACTTCACGGCGCTGAAGAGCCAAAATGAGACGAAATTTAAGGAGATGGAGAATCTTATCAATGAGCACTCGAAATTACAGGAAGAAAAACTTAACGTTCTTAAAATCCAACTTTCCACCGAAATAAATAACGTCCAGGTCCACCTTGAAGACAAGTACAAGTTAATGGAGGATGAGTTGATTTCATTGAAGGCCAAAGTTAATCCTGTAGATGATCCTGGTGTTATTGACCATCTCCCCTCAGAGCTTGATGACAGACTGGAGGACTTAGAGAGACTGACGAAGAGAAACAACATCATCATCTCCGGTATGAAGGTAATAGGGGGTAATATTAAGGAACAGGTAAATAATTTCCTGGTAAGCTCTCTGAGCGTTGAGAAGAATGTAGTTTCTGCTAAAATCATCAGTTCCAGAGGCCCTACCCCGTTAATCCAAGCTGAACTGGTCTCTTTTGATGCCAAATTAGCCATCTGGGAGGCCAAAAAGAGCCATCGCCTCACGAACGTTTATATAAACAGAGACATGACCAAGCGGGAGAGGGGCATTGACAAGAGGATCAGAGATCGCGCAAAGGCTCTCAACCTCCAGGGTTATTGAGTTAAAATTGGATACCAGACCCTAACTGTAAATGGCTCTAAATACATCTGGGACAAAAAATGCAATGACCTGAAACCTGTCGGAGTCACCGCTCTCAACGCATCCAACCCAACCAGCTTATTAAACCTCTGCAATATGGAGCTGGACTCTACCCCTCAATTGCACCAGCCCACTCTTCCCCTCCCTTCCATCCCAGCATCTGTAAATTTTCCCATAGCCAGCCTCTCCGGACTCAAGAAGAAATAACACCTGTCGGTTTGAACATAGCCTTCTGGAACGTGACTGGCTTCTCCCACCTGGACGATCTCATCTCTTTAAATCTGGCTGATATCATCTGCATCTCCGAAACCATGAAGTTGAAGCCCCCCATGCCAATCCCCCAGTTCCTCGATGATTTCAATTGTTTCTGGTCTGACGCTACTAAGGACAAATCTCGAGGTAGAGGCAGTGGAGGTCTTCTCCTGGCTGCTAAGAAGCCCATCAAGCTAGAACTCCTTGAAACATCGCACTGGTGGATTTTCTCCAAGGTCTACTGCTCTGATGCAAATTTTATTCTGGGACTAGTTTACTTTCCCTCTGCACGAGAATTCAACTACCGTTATGCCCTTATGATGCTGCAAGAGACCAAGAGTCAACTCGAGGTATCCCACGTCGGTCTTCCATTTATTATTGGCGGTGATTGGAATGCAAGAGTTGGGAAGGTGACAGATGTGGACGAGAGTTTCTTTGAAGGAACAAGCCTAACTTGCACGATGGACAATCTAGACGTAGTTCTAAACGAGAGGTGCCCCCCCACCGTGGACTTTATGGCTGCCGCTGGTCTCGCAATTGTTAATGGTAGGACTCCCAGTGATTCCCCTGCTAATTTTACTTACTGGAAATTTGGTGAATCAGTGAATGACACTATATGGTGTTCAGCTGCTAGGCTTGATCTCATCAGAGACCTGAGAGTTATACCGGACATCACCTGCTCCGACCACTTCCCCCTCATCCTTAGTCTCTGGTCCAGATCTCCTCATTCCTCTCCACCTCCCCCAGTGGTCCCTTCTTCTTGGACATGCTCCACGCCTAAGATTGTCTGGAAAGCGGAGAAACTTCAGAAATTTCAGACTGCGCTGGAGACTCTGGTTTATACTCCATTCCCCCATTGCCTCGTTAGCCCTGAATTTCTCCATTCCCAAATTACTGATGCTATCTGGACAGCAGCTGAACAATCTGGCCTGATCTCCTCTGCTAAACCCCGTTCCAGGACTGTTCGTTCTGGCCTGGTGACCGCAACCCATAAAACTTGGTTCGATAGGGAGTGTGTCTCGCTCAAACTTCAACTTAAAGCAGCCTCAAAAGCCAGTTTTTCTTCAAGATTTGCCCCCAAAGACAAGGCTGCCCTCACTTTTGCTCAGAAAAGGTACAGCGCAGTCACTTCAGCCAAGAAGGCGGCCCACGAGCGCCAGTTGGCAGATGGTCTCGCAAATCTCTCTTCCCCCTCTATATTCTGGGCTGCTGTCTCGAAATGTAGACCGAGACCAGGCTTGAGGAACGCTGGTCTCCCGGTCAGCGTCTGGAATGAGTTTTACAGAGATCTCTACCCGCCACGATCCAATGAGCCATTCCTTTTACTCGGGATAGAGGATGCTGAACTTGACCATCAATTTACTATCCTTGAAATTAACAAAGGTATTGAAAACCTGAAAACGAGCAAGGCACCTGGATCCGATGGAATCACGAACGAGGCCCTCAAAGCCCTTACCCCTTTCTGGGTCTCTCGGATGTTGGCTCTTTTCAATAGAGCTCTGGATCTCGGTCAGATTCCTGAAAGCTGGTCAAACATCATCATGTCCATGCTATTCGAAAATGGTGATAGACTCGACCCTACCAACTACCGAGGCATTGCTCTTATCAACACCACCACGAAACTCTTCACTGAGTTACTGAGGAAAAGGTTGGAGCCCTGGAGTGAGGCTAGAGGCATTCTTCCTGAGGTTCAACATGGGTTTAGACGTGGCCGAAGTTGTACGGACGCAATCTTCACCTTTCTCTCCGCTGTTCATCTCCAACTGAGGCTCGGGAAGAGGGAAGTCTATGCTGTATTCATTGACTTTAGACGTGCCTTCGACAGTATTCCTCATAATCTACTGTGGCGGAAGCTGCTGGGTCTGGGTATCAGCTCCAAGATCGTCCGTGTACTTATTTCAGTCCACTCACAGGCAAATCTCCAGGTTAGGAGCCGGGGTCTTCTCTCCGACAAATTTGAAGTCACCGAGGGAGTGCTGCAGGGGGAGACTCTCAGCCCCTTATTATTTCTCCTCTACATCTCCGACTTCGAGTCGTTTTTCCGAAGCCGCGGACACAGGGGTTTCATTATAGACGGTCATTCAGACATTTTACTGCAACTCTTCGCTGACGATGCTGTTTTTCAGGCCGACTCTCACGTCCGGCTCAAGGCCATCCTTTCAACACTCTATGAATACTGTACATACAAGGGTCTTGGCGTGAATACATCAAAAACCCAAATCCTCATTCTGAAAGGGGCCGGCCCTCCGAAAAATATCCACCCGGCTTTTACAATGTTCAATGGTACTCCCCTGAGTATTGTTCGCTCCTACAATTACCTGGGCGTCCATATTTCCAGCACAGACAAGAGTAACGAAACATTGTGATCCTCGATTGGCAAGGCCAGGGCGGCCATCTCAACCATTTTATCCATCGTCTATCGCTCGAAATGCGACAACTGGTCATCCCTCACGAAACTCTTCGATAGCCTAGTGGCCTCTACTCTGATGTATGCCCTCCCAGCCTGGGGCATCGGGCATATCTATGACATCGAGGCGGTCCAACTTGACTTCCTGAAACGCCTGCTATCACTCCCCAGAAATACCTCCAGCTGGGCAGTCAGAATGGAGACGTCATCGATCCATCTGGCTTACAGAGCCATGTATCGAATCTGGAAATGGCTCATCAGAATCCTAAAACTGCGCGACAATCATCTACCAAAGATCTGCATGAGGAGGTCACTCGAACTGGCTAAGACTATCAATGCTCCTTCTGCCTACAATTGGTTCTCCCACATGAAGCACTTTCTGTCGGTCAGTGGTGCCGAGGACCTGTCGGAGAATATGGACCCTGATGAATGGACTCGTCGTACTCCAGAGATCTTCAACAGCTTCCAGCTGTACCTACGAAACTTAGATTATCGGAGTTATCTAAGCTCCCAGGCCTCCCAACTCCACATCCAAAGAACCCTCTCTGACCGCCTTCCTTCCTACCGTCGTCTTCGTCTCCCTCTTCCCTTCAAAAAGTTAATTGCCCAGCTCCGCCTGGCTAATATTCATTTTTGTGTCTTCAGCTTGAAAGACTGCAGATCTAAGATCTTTCCTTCCCAACTTTGTTCCCATTGCCTTTCTCTCGGAGTTTACCAATATGAAACTGTGGCGCAAATCTTTTTACACTGCTCTCTTTATGCTGCCTACAGGTCTTTCCACATCGCCCATCTTCTTATTAAACGCTCCCCCTTGGATTCCGATCAGACTTTTGTTGGCAGGATCCTTTGCACTGACAACCATAAAACTCTGAAATCGATCTTTTATTTCGCCAGCAGTTGCTTGACTCTACGGGAGCAAATATTTTAATTCATTACAATAGTTTCTCTTTGTCTTCACGTTATTCATTTGTTTTTTGTTAAGCTCAATTCTTTATCAACCTTACACCTTGTCTATTATTCGTTTTTACTACTTTAAGACCGAAATGTACTACTTCCCCCTCTAATACTCTGTAACCCCCTTGCTATAGGAGTAGCTTAGTCCTCCTTAGAAGCAATATCTAAATAATCTAAACAATTAATTTAAATTTGTTCGACAACAATTATAATTAACTGAATTCCGGATAATAATTAAATTAAATTTGTTCGACAACAATTATAATTATTTGGA